AAGTCTTTTGGAATTGAAAACTCGTCATAAGTAAATGATTAATGGCTTGTGGTGTAAAGGTAATGGTATGCGCCCAATTCGTCCATGATTTTCCAAGCTCCGGAATTGGAAGTCCAGCAGTGCTATCTTTAGGTTCAGTTGATGGGTCTGGCCCATGACTTTCCGGTCTTATCGTCCCGAGATATCGTTTAACACCGCTGACGATAGAGCCTTGATTATTCCGGAGCTTGCCAAAAATTACTTGCTCGAGGTCTTCGTTGATAACATGATCCATGCCAAAATCGGAATTCGGGATTCTGGAAGATGAGCGGCCATTTTTTATAGACAAAATGATCCTACTTAAACCAAACCAAGTAGTGAAGCGATGTTTTGTTCGAGTATCACTCATTGAAAAGCGATCTTTAGAGATACTACAGCTGACGCAGCCTTTTCACATTAGGATTGGGGGACCTCTTTTTATCGTCAGATTGGGTCGGGGTGAAGAATTGAAAACTCGTCATAAGTAAATGATTAATGGCTTGTGGTTGCCAAATAAGTGACCAAACAGGCGGACGTGCAAGCATAGCAACAATAGAGGAAAGCTTACCAAAACCATGCTAAATTGAATTCAGCTGGTTGTGCCACATATAAGTAGGGGAAGACTCCAACTAACAGGACAGGGAGAACAATTTCATGAAGAGTCGATTGAGGTAACAATAACAAATGTCTCAACAGGAACTGCGGGCTGACTAGTCTTATTTGTCCGTCCATAAAGAGAAAAGGGTTGCATGTACTTTAATTTTGATCGGCAAGAAAATCTTCATATGTGGATTTTTTAAATGGCCTGTTCGATTATCTGCCGTCATACAACGTGAATCCATCCTTGTAATACAGATCGTCAATTATTAAACAACAATCGGTTTATCACTGAATTGACGTTGATTGTAATAGTAATTATTGTGTGATTATCATTAAATATTTTTATTAGTTGAATAAGGATATATAGAGCTGGGTTGTTGAGCAATTGATTTAGGGGTTTATAATAATAAATAATATGATGACAGATATAAAGCAAAGAGGGAATGACGTGTCCGTGAAATGCACATGGAAAGATTCAACATCACACACAATGTTTTCGAAAGATTAAATTACCTTATAAAAGATGTAGCATAGTCAAGAGTGACGGTTGAAGAGTCAATAAATTCTATATTTAGCTCTTAACAGTTGTTATTATTGGATGTGATCGTTTTTGAAAAGTTCAAAGTGATGATTGTCATTTATTTGTTGTGTTGACATTTTCAGGAAACTTGCATTTTAATTTTATTATTGTTTTATGGAAACTTAGCTGTTAGCCAATCACGTTCCAAGATTTGCGGAAAAATGAGGAGGTCGCTGTGTGAGTTCCTTTCAACAAGCCATCGAGTATACAATTCCGGCACTCGTATTAAAGTTGAGAGCGCAGTAGAGTTGTATAACGATGTGATTTACTGTGAACTGTATAATTCTACTTTCGTTATACTGAAAACAACTTCACCAAATAATACAGTTTTCCTCACAATCCCGCCGTGTTACTATCGTCCGAAATATAGCACAAACATCTCCACCAACAAAAAAACTACGTCTCACTGATTCCACCACATCCGACACGGATTCAAGTTATTCGGTTTCAAATGAAGAAATAGGGAAACCACACAATGACATCCATATCGAAGCAATTAAAAATCCTCCACCAAAAAACAATAATCGCAACACATCCAAATTCAGACAAACGATTCTGCGAAATTTGGCCTCTCGGAAGTTAACTTGCGAAAAGCAACTATCTAGGGACTTGAATAGATTATCGTTAGGAAAATATTTGTCAATGCATTAATATTATATATATATATATATATATTTTAACTATCGCCTTAAGTAAATTATGTGAACTGCATTTAGGGAAATAGTCTATTAGAATACGAACGAAAATTCGGAACTTCGCAAGTTCCGTTTTGCATTGCAGAAAACGAAGGGTTGTATTTATGGAGTTGACAAAAAGCATTATATCTTTAAGACCCTAAAGGTGTACTCAATAATAGACAGTCAAAAAGACTCGTTTATGACGATAATTTGTTTTTTGATTTATTTTTCATTTTGCAGGCGCAACTTTTTTTAAAGTAAGCTATCAAACAGTTAATGCTCCTTTATTACATTATTGGCATTCTGTGCCCTATCATTAAAAACTGGCACATTGAGAATTCAAACAAAGATTTACTTCTTACATATTTTTCTGCTTGACAAAGTATTGAAAGATTTTGCCGGCCTCGGTATCATATTCCCAGGGGTTTTATCTGCATTCTGGTCATGAAATGTAACATCGCGGCGGCTATCGAAGTCGTGCGTAAATAGCAATATCCAGCAGCATTACATTATTGGCCGACGCATCATCCGGTCGGTGCTGAAATTGAAATAAGTTTCACTCTCCAGGCAAACATGGCTACGTATTTATTTATTAAATAATTGGTTCTCATTGTTTACTTTTAACTAATAATTTTCTTTATTTTCTAATACTCTGCCCGGAAAAGGCAGCAAATGGTAAACATGCATGACTTTATTTCGGCGTCTTGTTAACTCATCAATATTAACATATGTAGAAGCACATTGTAATAATTCGAACCCTTTGAATAAAATTCATATAATAAAAAACAAACCGTGAACTACTAGTTTATTCAAAATGAGTCTGAGTTGCTAAA